TTGTGGCCGACGGCGGACATATGGCTGCTAATGTATCGGTTGACCAGGAATTTGAAGATTTGTTGAATAAAATGGAAAATTTCTAAATAAATATTCACTTTTATATATAATAATAAATATTATAAAAATTACTGTATTTGTTTGAAACAATTACTTTTTAAATTTTTAATTATTTTAGTTTAATATTTTAATTAAAATTATGTTATTTTTTAGATGAATATTAACGTTATTTTAACTTTTTTTTTTTACTTATTTTTAATCAATAATAAGATTACATATAAATTTAAATAACATAAAAACACATATTAAAATAGTTTTAATTAAAATTAAAATTTTTAAAAACAAAAAAAAGGGGGGGGGGGTCATTTCTCCTCATTTTTAAGCGACAATTTTTCCCATTTGGTCAAAAAGTCTGGGGTGGGGGTAAAATCCCAAAATCTCGATCCTAGGGGGGGTATTTTGGTCTTACTCCCCTACCCCCCTTACTTAACCCTGATATATATATATATATATATATATATGTAAAGTATAAACACTTTATGTTTAAAAATAACTTTAAAATATCTATATTTCACTAAAATATAGCAATAATTTAATTATCAAATAGACTTAAATTTAGCATTTTTGCAATTTATATTCACTTTCTATATGTTTATTACTTTTCAAATAACTGCCGACTATTTTATGGGTCAAGTATTGCCTAAAATCCCTATATAAAGGTCAGCACTGACCTTACATTTGATGCTTAGATATACCTGTGCTTCACGACTGCAACATATAAACTAAATTTGTAATACAATTTCATATCAAAAATAAAATGATTTAATAAAAACACAATTAGTTTTTTAATCTATTGGTGCGTCAAATAAGTAAATGCCGTAAAATTCAACTAATATTTTACATATATATATATATATATATATATATGTGTGTACTGTATATACATTACAATAATGAATTAAATAACTAAATATAAAATATAATTAGTTTGTTGTGTGGCTGTTACGGGTCAGTTGTCTAGCGTGTGGGTCGGTATGAGACCGACAACTAATCGCTAACAACTACGATATCAATTGATCGGTCAAAGACTTCTCAATTGATATAGTCATCACTTGAATGGCAATCAATTATATGTCAATCAAATTCATATATACAGATCTGCAGTAGTGGTGACCAGAGTGTAGGTCAGCGATCGATCCGTTAGTACTATTGATAACTTCTATCACTATTGGATGGCCAGTGTAGTGGTAGTCACGAAGTGTTGATCCGATCAGCCAGTGCTTGCAATGAAGGAATGGTAGATATGCTGATCGATCCGGTGATGTGTAGTTAAGACACACATGATTTAGACACACTTTCAGATATAATAGTTTATTATAATAACACAATTCAAATGATAATTAAAACATCGATGGTTTAAATGGTATGGATAGTGGGACTATCAAAGCACATGGATGTGTGTAATGGTATGAATGGTAAACTGAAGGCCGGTATCTACTGACTGGACAGTATGGGTAGCAGTGACTGATAAGTCAGTCAGAAACAAGTGTGAGAATAGTATATGAATACAGAAGTATTTATACTCTGTATTTGAGAACCGGTAGGTGTATGTGTATAAAGATTAGCTATTGGTTGGCTGTATGTGTATGGTTAGGTTAGGCGATCGATCTACTGGTGCCATGAAGACGCCGACCATTGATCGAGCACTTCCAGGAATAGGTAAGTATTGATCGATCAAATCGATCAACAATTCAAAAGAACGGATTAAAAGCATAGAAAATAGGTTTACATAAAAAAAATCAAAATAAGATATAAAAACAAAAAGTTTAAAATCTAATTAAATTAAAATAGAATATTTATTTTCTCAACAAATTAACAATAATTTATTTATTATTAATATTTTTTAAAAAATGTTTCATATGATGCTAAAAACTTTGCTTTATTATTATTTTATTTAGCTTTTAATTTTAGCTATTATTTATATAAATTATAGCTAAAATTAATAAACTAATAAATTATCGATATTGATTTTTAAAAAAAAATAATATTTTAACTTTATTAAATATTTTAGCAAACTTATTATTAAATATAGTATTAATAAATACTATACTAAAACTAGTAATTAAATTAATAATTTTACAGTTATAGTCAATTGCATTGATAAACATTAAGTAAATTATTTCATTGAAATTGTAATGTTATAAAATTAAAACTATTATTACAAATATTTAATAATTATTATATACAGAATATATACTCAATTTTTATTAATTTTATGCTAAATCATAGAGTTATAAAATAATTTAAATATTAAATTTTTTTAACAAAATAGTCATCAAAATTGATAACATAAAGTACTGTACTTAGCGTTTACTCTAAAAAATAATTTTATTGATTAACAAAAAATGTCTGTAAATTATGATTTCACCGATAAAGTAGTCATAATAACCGGTTCGAGTTCGGGTATCGGAGCCGGCATTGCCCAACTGTTTGCCAAATCGGGTGCCAATGTTGTAGTAACCGGTCGTAATGCCGATCGTGTGGCCAAAGTAGCCAAACAGTGTACAGATATGTCACCGAAACAGTTGACTGCACTGGAAGTTGTCGGCGATCTGACTAAACAACAAGATTGCGATCGACTAATTCAGACAACTGTCCAAACATTTGGCAAATTGGATATATTGGTCAATAATGCCGGGTTCGGTAATAGGGCTGATGTTACTGAAGAGGATTACTATCAAAAATTTCAAAATCTAATGCAAACTAACTTGAATTCAGTGGTATATTTGACCCATAAATCTGTTGAACATTTGGCCAAAACTAATGGCAATATTATTAACATATCGAGTATTGCGGCAAAAATTACGGTAAATAATTAAATTATCATTAATATTTTAATTGATTATTATTAATAGTATTATTATTATTACTATCTAATTAAACTAACCAAAACAAAAAAAAAAACAATAGAGTAGCGGTCAGTCACCCTATCATATATCTAAGGCTGCACTGGATATGTTTACCAAATGTATGGCCGCAGAGTTGGGACCCAAACATCATATCAGAGTTAATTCAGTCAAGTAATTGATTTTAAAAAATAATATTTTTTTTATGATTTTTTTTGACAATAAATTTAAAAATAATTGTTTATTTACAACATTTAATAACAATAACGGGAAAAAAAAGTCCTGGATTTATAGTCACTAATATTTTCGCTGATATGGGTATACCTAAAGCTGTTGCCGATAACTTTTTCCGAACAGTTGGCTGCAAATATCCGGTCGGTAGGCCTGGCCAGCCGCAGGACATTGCCCAAACTGTTGCCTATTTGGCCAGTAATTCAGAGGCCGGGTTTATAACCGGTAGTATTGTTGTGGCCGACGGCGGACACTTGACTGCTAACGTATCGATTGACCAGGAATTAGAAGATTTGATCAATAAAATGGAAAATTTCTAATTAAATATTCATTTTTAAATAATATATAAATACTGTATTTTTTTGAAAAAAATTATATATATATATATATATTTTTATTAACAGATTTTATTTAATTAATTTTACTATAATTGCCTTAGTATACTACTGTAGTATATATATATATAATATATATATATATATATATATATATATATATATGTTTGCGTGTATTGTAATAAAATGGAAAATTTCTAAATAAATATTCAGTTTTAAATATATAAATACTGTATTTTTTTGAAAAAAATTATATATATATATATATATTTATTAACAGATTTTATTTAATTAATTTTACTATAATTTCCTTAGTATACTACTGTAGTATATACAGTATATATCATAGACTCTCTCATAGGTTTATTATTAATCGGTCCCTGAACGTTAATTATACAAAAAATATTAAAACTAAATTAATAAAACAAATATAACATAACAAAATTTATTAGGGAATAAAAAATTTTATAAAAACAAATATATTAAACATGTTATATATCAATGAAAAACAATAGTTAAACATACAATGTATAACATTAACTATATTGACAAAAAAACAATTAATTAATAATAGGGTAAAAAAATAATTTTGATAGTAATAGTTTATTTGTAAATGAGTAAGGTATATAATTTACATTATCATAAAATACGTAATCAAGTTAAATTCAAAAATCTATCATGATAGCTTTTAAGAGAGTTTAAGGTATATATATATACATATATGTTTGTGTGTATTGTAATAAAATGGAAAATTTCTAACTAAATATTCAGTTTTATATAATAAATATTAAAATATAGTATTTGTTTAAAAAAATAATTTTTTATATTTTAAAACTTTTTTTATTTATATAACTATGCTATATATATATATATATATATATATATATATATATATATATATATATATGATACAATAATGAATTAAATAACTAAATACAAATATAATATTAAAATAATTTTATTTATTATTAATATTTTTTAATGTTTCATATGATGCTAAAAATTGCTTTATTATTATTTTATTTAGATTTTAATTTTAAATTATTAATATAAGTTACAACTAAAATCAATAAATTATTAAATAATCGATATTGATTTTTTAAAATTATTATTTTATCTTTATTATAGACTTTAGAAAAAAATTATTATTAAATTCTATAATACAACTAGTATTTTAAATTAATAATTTTACAGTTATAGTCAATTGCATTGCTATACAATACATTATTAAATTATTTTATTGTAATTGTAATGTTAAAAAAAGTTAAATTATTATTATTATAATATTTCAAAATAACATTTTATTGTTAAATAATGATGAATTTATATAAAAAAAATTAATACCAAATATTTAATATATACAGAATATATATATATATATATATATATATATATATATATATAAACTCAGTTTTTACTAAGTTTATGCTAAATCATAGAGTTATAAAATAATTTTAATAATAAATTTTTCAAATAAAATAGTCATAAAAATTGCTAAACTTACAGTACTTAACATTTACTAGAAAAAAAATTTATTGATTATTACAAAAATGTCTGTAAATTATGATTTCACCGATAAGGTAGTCGTAATAACCGGTTCGAGTTCGGGTATCGGTGCCGGCATTGCCCAACTGTTTGCCAAATCGGGTGCCAATGTTGTTATAGCTGGACTCGATGGCCAGGGTGTGGCCAAAGTAGGCAAACAGTGTACAGATTTATCACCGAAACAGTTGACAGCACTGGAAGTTGTCGGCGATCTGACTAACGATAAGGATTGCGATCGACTGATTGAGACAACTGTCCAAACGTTTGGCAAATTGGATATATTGGTCAACAATGTCGGGATCGGTCATAGAGCCGAAGTTACTAAAGAGGATTACTATCAAAAATTTCTAAATGTTATGCAAACTAACTTGAATTCAGTGGTATATCTGACCCACAAATCTGTTGAACATTTGGCCAAAACTAATGGCAATATTATTAATATATCGAGTATTGCATCAAAAATATCGGTAATTATTATTAAAAAAAATTAATTATATTAATGTTGTTCTTAAAACTTGTTAAATGTATTATTTAATAATTAATTATTAATATGTGTTTTAATTTATCTTAATTTATAGTGTACTGAGTTATCACCCTATCATATGTCCAAAGCAGCACTGGATATGTTTACCAAATGTATGGCCGCAGAGTTGGGACCCAAACATCATATCAGAGTTAATTCAGTCAAGTAATTGATTTTTTTAAAAAATAAGATTTTTTTCTGTAATAATTAAATTTATATATAAAATTTTTTTTATTTTTAATAACCTAAAAAGTCCTGGACTTGTTGTCACTAATTTTATGACTACTATGGGTTTACCTGAAACTATTTGCGACAAAATTTACGAAACAGTTGGCTCCAAATATCCGATCGGTAGAGTTGGCCAGCCCCGGGATATTGCCAACACTGTTGCCTATTTGGCCAGTAATACTGAGGCCGGGTTTATGACCGGCAGTATTGTTTTGGCCGACGGCGGACATCTGTCAGCTAACGTATCGGTTGAAAAGGAAGGACAGGATTTGTTAAATAAATTTCAATAATAATTATTATTATTAATACATATATAATATTATTAACTATTATTACATTTATATTGAATATTATAATTATAACGAATTAATATTAATAAAATATTAAATAAATAAATATATTTATTTATACTAATTATTAATTATATTTTATAACAATTAAAGCAATGTTGCTATAAATAAATAAATAAATTATATGTTTATACTTAAGATTAAGTACTAAAATTAAAGTACAATAATTAAAACGATTAAAATCAGTATTTATGCCCAATAATTTTGTTGTATATAATTGGCTAAATTATCTTGTTAATTTTTTTAAATTAGCAATAATTTTAACCTAAAATCTTCAAATTTTATGTATAATATCCATTTTTGTTATTTATATAATATTAAAATTATTTATTTTTTTATCAAAATTTTTTATATTATTATTATTATTAATAATAATAATAAACAAACAAATAGTTAATTTTTGTGGACTATAGACTCTATAGAAAAAAAATTATTTTAATAATATATATATATCTAATATTAAAACTTTTATTAAGTTTTATTAAGTAAATATAGTAAAAATTATGTTTAATTAATACAATTGAATTTTCAAAATATAATATTTATAATAACATTTATAATAATGATTTGACGTTTATAAAAGATCAGTTCAATAAAAAAAAGTAATGTTAATTAAATTAAATCATTTATTATAAATATATATAAAAAAATATGTTATTCATTGTTGAATCTATTAGATTACATTATTTTTTTATTATTATTATTATTTCAATCTATCAGTAATTATTACTTATACAGTATATTATAATTTTTTGATTAAATAAATTTAATAAATGTAATATACAATTGTTTTACTATAATTGTTTTTTTTTGTTTTTTGTTAAAATGTTTGAAAATATTTGTAAAACAAAATTATTGGTAATACTAATATAATTTATTTATTTATTTTTTAAATTTTTGTATTTAATAATAATTATTTTTTGTTATTAATATACATAAATCTACTGTTATTTTTTTGAAATAATCAATTATGACTACAGGATATTCACCAATCATGGTATACACCCGATCCTCGTCTAAGCACATGTATGATCGAGACATGGTTTGCATGGATTCCCTGTATATTCCTATGGCTAAGCCTACCATATATTATCTATAATTGTTATAAATCATCGGACAAACCATCGATTGAGTGGAACTTATATAATTCAAGTCGTCTATGTCTGGCCATTGTCAGCACAGTTGTCCTATTTGTTGAACTGATAGTCAGTTTGGTTAGCAAATATCACTGGTCGGACAGTCCGAGTACGGCCTACATTATAATGACTGCCATACAAACAGCTACCAGACTAGTCCTATGTATCATCTATTACAGCCATCGACGCTATGGTGTCCATCGGAGCGGTTGTGTTTGGCTATACCTATTGATCGATACATTTTTGAGTATACTATCCATTATTACATACACTACCGCACCACCGGATGCTAAGCTCAGATACTACGAGTTTATATTGAGATGTCTGTCATTTTCATTGACATCATTGTTGCTAATCGTAACAACATTTGCCGACAAACTGCCGACCAGAAACATCAAGGATATTGATGGCCAGTTAGCACACAATACAACCAATTTTCATCAACAGCAACAGACTAAAGTACATCCAAAAGACAGGGCATCCTATCTATCAAAGATAACCTACCATTGGATTGATATGCTATTTATAAATGGTTGGCGAAAATCATTACAATTACAAGATCTCTGGCCATTACGTTCAGTGGACAGTAGTCTAAATAATTATAAATTGTTTGCAAAATATTGGTTTATAAATAATAATAATAATAATAATAATAATACTAAAAATCCATATAATACTAATTTGATCATGGTCATTTTCAAAATGTATGGCCTGGATATTATCGGTCCAATCGTATTGCTTATAGTAGCCTATATTCTACAAACTTTACAGGCGCTTATTTTCAAGTAGGTAAATGGGGGAGATTGGGGGGGCGGGGTAGGGGGTAGGGTGTTGGGTATGTCAAAAAATATACTCTAGTATTATACATGCCTAAAACAATAAATATTTTTTTAATAGGATTTGTATTATTTTTTTTTTATAAATTACATTACATTATATAGCAATAACAAACAAACAAAAAATAACTAATTATTATTTTTTTAATTTTTTTTTTTGGTATGTTTTTATAGATTACTAATTGATTTTATTGACGACAAATATGAATATCAATGGCACGGATATGTCTATTCAATAATGTTAATTACAATCAATATTTTCTACTCATTATTTTATGCCTATTCCTATGAAATAATTAATACAGTGGGTATGTAGTACTGTATATATATATATATATTGAAATATATATATATAGATTCAAAAATCACTTTCAAAAAAATTAGGTTACTATAGTTTTTTTTAAATAGATTATAACAGATTTGAATAAAACAAATATATTTTGTTATGTGTTGTTTGTTGTTGGCACTTGAATGTTAGGCTCAGGTTGGCTGTATGTTGTATCTCATAAAAAACTATTAAAAAAATTTTTGATTATTAATTCAATAACTATTATAACAATATGTTCAAAATTCATTTTATTTTTTTTAAATAAAAAATAGTATTTATAATTTATAAACTAACATAATATAAGTGTCAATATTATATATATATATATATACTGTATATATATATAATAATTATTATTATTACAGGGTTTTTTTCATTGATTTTGTAGCTTTGCAACAATAGTTTGTAGTTTTGTAACAATAGTTTGTAGTTTTGTGTTAGAAATTTCATGTTATAAACTACAAACTATTGTTGCAAAGCTACAAAATCAATGAAAAAACCCTGTATTATTAAAAAACACTATTATTAGTATATTGTATTAGTGACACAAAAATAACCAATGTCATCTATTTTTTTGAAATATACTATATATATATATATTTTTAATTTGTTTTTATTAATTATAAAATTATCAAATAAAGGTATAAGAGTTAAATCGTGTCTAACGGCAGCCATATATCGCAAAGCACTGGTATTAAGCAATGATAGCAAACGGCTCACACCTAATGGAGAAATTGTCAATTTGATGACAGTTGACTGTCAACGTATTATAGGTAGGAATATCCATCTATCTATCCACCTATCTATCCACCTATCTATCCATCTATCTATCCACCTATCTATCCACCTATCTATCCATCTATCTATCCACCTATCTATCCACCTATCTATCCATCTATCTATCCACCTATCTATCCACCTATCTATCCATCTATCTATCCACCTATCTATCCACCTATCTATCCACCTTCTATCCACCTATCTATCCACCTATCTATCCACCTATCTATCCACCTATCTATCTATCTATCCATCTATAATTAAACTATTTATTTTTATCTATTAAAATTATTTAATTAACAAAAATAAAATTTTTAAAAAAAACCTAGACAATCTTCACTGGGCGCCATTGATATTTACAACACCCGTACAAATTTGTTTGGCCATCTATCTAATCTATCAGCAATTAGGTGTGGCTGCATTTGTTGGTCTGGGCGTATTGATTGCCGTTATACCCATCAGTTTCATACTAACCGTATTCAATGGTCTATCCAAACAAAAACAATTTCAATTGAAGGACAGTCGACTGAATAAAATGAACGAAATACTAAATGGTATTAAAATATTAAAAGTAAGTAAATTATTATTATTATTATATTTGAGAAAAATACAGTTAGGCCTTGCTCACATATTACGTTCGAACTTGAGGGGGGGTTAGCCAAAGTGAACTTTTGCGAACGAGGGAAGGGGAGGGGAGGGGTAGAGTCTTTAAGAACGTTTGCATTTAGATAATATTATATTTCTTGTGGTGGTGGGGGGGGGGTAGCGGTTAGGGACATGCAAACGTAATGTTTTTTTTTTAAATGACTACACGCGAACAATTGAGAACATAGGGAGGGGAGGGAGGGGGTCTAGATTTCTTTAAAAAAAAATGCAGACGTAATATGTGAACAACCCCTTATATATTTACTATTATGTACCGGTAAATACCGGTATGTATTATATTATTAATTTTAATTATTATTAATTAATTTAGTTATACGCTTGGGAAATACCTTACCTGAAAATGGTTAACAAAATACGTAATCGCGAGCTAAGACACATGTTGTGCGCCGGCCTATGGCTTGCCGTTACACTAACGCTGACCAATGCATTGCCAATGGTTGCACAGTTGGCCACTTTCGGCACGTTTTCGGCCATTGAAGGCGAGGACAAGATTAACGCTCAGCGCATATTTGTATCCGTTTCGTTGTTTAGTTTGGCTAACATTAGTATTGTAACCATGCCATATGCTTTCAATTCAATGAGCTTGGTAATTTATTATTATTATTATTATTTGAATTTTAAAATCATAAAAAATTAAAGGTTTATTTTTTTAATTATTTTTTTTTAATTAAAATTAATTAATTATAAATCTATTAGATTTATGTATCGATTAAACGTATCGATAAATTTCTCAAATTACCCGAACATTACAATTATGTTCAAAACAATGATAACAAACAATTTGCGGTAACTGTAGATATGGCAACATTTTCATGGATGGGTAGTCAAAATGATTTACAATTAACAACAATACCAACAAAAAGTACTACAACCACCACTACCACCAACAACAACAACATCATATTGAAAGACATAAATCTTGACATAACTAACGGTATGTTTGTTGCAGTAGTAGGCGGTGTCGGCTCTGGAAAGAGTTCACTATTATCGGCACTGATAGGCGATATGGAACTGATAGGCGGCTCAGTTAACATAGCACAGGACCAGTGTCTGGCATATGTTCCCCAACAGTCATGGATACTGAATGCAACCCTCAAAGACAACATACTATTTGGCAAACCATACGATCCGATTAAATACAGTGAAGTTGTTAGTGCCTGTGCTCTCCAACCAGATCTTAGGCAACTGTCCGGCGGAGATGAGACTGAAATCGGCGAAAAGGGTATCAATTTGAGTGGCGGTCAAAAACAAAGAGTCAGTTTATGTCGGGCCGTCTATTCTGATGCCGACATCTATTTGTTTGACGATCCGTTGTCCGCAGGTTTCTGCTATAAAATATTTTTTGGAAATAGTTTTTATTTTAATAAATAATTTATTTTTATTATTATATTAATTATTTATATTTAGTGGACAGTCATGTGGGCAAACATATTATGACCGAAGTATTTAGTTCGCGAACCGGTTTATTGCGCGAAAAAACACGTATTTTGGTCACCAATCAGCTGTTTGTGTTACCCGATGTCGACCTTATTGTCGTATTGAAAGATGGCTCAGTGGCCGCTATCGGTACCTATGAACAGCTGTTGGACAACAATAAAGAGTTTAACGATTTGGTCGCACAATACTCGGTAAACAATAGACAACAGAATAATCAAGAAGAAGATGAAGATATGTTAACTGATGGTCAACTGGATAGCACTGGTAGTATCGACAACAAATCAACAACAATTGTTTCGACTACCGTTGATACTACTGGTGACCAACCATTCAATATGACACCCGTTTCCAATTCAATGCTTATCAATGAAGAGCACTTGGAGTCTGGAGTAATCAAGTTTGGTGTACGTAATGGCTATATAATGGTTATTAATTTAATTAATTAATTATTTTTTTTTTAAAATTAGGTTTATATTAAATATATCCGTTCAATGTCTATTATACTGGCCGTCATGTTTTTGATTAGTCTAATAGGAGCTACTGTTTGCCAGATATCTGTCTACAATTTGCTGTCCAAATGGACATCGGATATCACCACCAAATCCAAAACACAATACTATCTGTCAGTGTTGGCCGCAATGATTGTCCTGTTTATTGTCTTGTTTTTGGTAGCAGTGATTAGTTTGGTTGCCGGTGTCCGACGGGCTGCCCAACAATTGCACGGACAGATACTTGACTGTGTAATGCACGCACCCATGACATGGTTTGATACGACACCATTGGGTCGGATATTAAACAGATTTAGCAGAGATCTCGATGTTTTGGACGGACAGATAAGTGATAATATTGGGTAAAATTATTATTATTATTATTAAATTATTATTATTATTAAACTATTATTATTATTAAATTATTATTATTATTAAATTATTATTATTATTAAACTATTATTATTATTAAATTATTATTATTATTAAACTATTATTATTATTAAATTATTATTATTATTATTAGAGAATTTTTTGTAGAGATTCTATCAGTAATTGGCGGACTTATTAACATTTCTATATTAATGCCACTATTTTCAGCCCCAGTTATTGTTGCAATTATTTTATATGTATTATTTCAGGTAAACTTTTATTATTTTATATTAAAATAAAAATTATAAAAAATAACAAATAATATTTATTTATTTATTTTTCAAAAAAAAAGTTATTTTACTTGAACATATCGCGTCAATTAAAAAGGTAATAACAAACAAACAAAAATTAATAGTTAATTAATTAAATATTTATAAAAATATATATACAGTATAAGCAAATTAAAATTAAAAGTAATTAAAATAAAATAAATAAAATAATTTTGTTGTAATTTGTATTAATATATTATAATTATTAATATTATATTTTTTTAAATACAGATTAGAGTCAACCACTCGATCGCGAATCATATCGCACTTTGAAGAGTCGGTCAACGGTCTGTCCAGTGTTCGGGCCTATCGTTGTTCAGATAGGTTTGTACGGGAAATAGAGTCCCGATTGGACGCCAACCAGATGTGTCTGTATCCCAATGTTATGGCCATCAGTTGGCTACAGACACGGTTGGCTGTGCTGAGCAATCTATTGATATTTTTTGGCGCACTATTTGCCGTACTGGCCAGAGATCAACTAACTGGCGGTTCAATCGGGTTAACCCTATCGTTGGCCATCGCACTGACGCCGACGCTCGAGAATCAGATAAAATCGTTTACATCGTTTGAAAACTGTATCGTTTCAGTGGAACGGGTGGACGAATATACGCGACTAGAATCCGAGGCCGACTGGCACTCGACCGCTATTGAACTGCCGGCCAATTGGCCGTCAAACGGTTCGGTACGGTTTGATGGCTACGGTGCCCGATATCGTCCAGGATTGGATCTAGTTCTACGCGGTATTGATGTATGCATTAAACCCCGGGAAAAGGTATATATATATATATACTAGTGTCCTGTCATGTCCTGTCCTGTCCTGTCCTGTCCTGTCCTGTCCTGTCTTGTCCTGTCCTGTCCTGTCCTGTCCTGTCCTGTCCTGTCCTGTCCTGTCCTGTCCTGTCCTGTCCTGTCCTGTCCTGTCCTTTCATACAGTAATAGTAGATTATAGTACATAAATATAATTATACTGTATTTTATTCAATTGGTATTCATTGTGCGCCCATACATACAAACACACAGATAGGTATTGTTGGCCGAACCGGTGCTGGAAAGTCATCGCTAACGTTGGCACTGTTCCGGATCATTGAGCCGGCAATGGGCAACATTATCATCGACGACATCGACATCAGCCGATTAGGTCTACAAGAGTTACGGTCGCGGTTGACAATCATACCTCAGGAACCGGTACTCTATTCGGGTACTATTCGATCAAATTTGGATCCGTTTGGCAATCATACCGATTCGGATTTGTGGTCAGTATTAGAACAGTCACATCTCAAACAGTTTGTCCAGTCGTTGGACAGCCAATTGGATTCACCGGTTGCCAAATCGGGCGATAATCTAAGTGTCGGTCAGCGACAACTTGTTTGTCTGGCCCGAGCACTGCTTCGTCATACGTCTGTACTGATCCTCGACGAGGCCACGGCTGCCGTCGATGTGGAAACCGATGCACTTATTCAGCAAACAATTCGCCAGGAGTTCAGTTCGTCTACTGTACTGACAATTGCCCACCGAATCAATACGATTATGGACTCGGATCGGGTAATAGTGTTCAACAATGGACGGGTAGCCGAGTTTGACGAACCCGACGTTTTGTTGGCCAACAAGTCTAACATTTTCTATACACTGGCCAGTGATGCCGGAATTATTTGATAATATATAATATATATATATATATTATTTAAAATTATATAAAGATAGTTTATTTTAATTATTATTATTATTTATTTAGTTAATTATTATTAGTTAAAATTTATTATAATTTATTTTAGTTTATGAAAATATTTTTCAATTATATATATTATTTATATAAAATATATCATATTTAACGTTATTAATACTCAACATAAAACAATATTAATAATAATATAATAATTTTTTTAAATAAAAAAAATGATAAAAGTTGTAGTGTCTGTATTGAGATTAGATCACTACTAGAGGGTGAATAAGGAGGCGCCGGTTGTTTAGAGTGGGTCGGTATGAGACCTACAACCGGTTATCTACTCAACCACTAGTTTGTTATCACCTGACGGGTCGTTATGAGACCAATCAAGTGGTAAATATGATGATCACTTGCAGTTGTGGTGCCGAAGTAAGGCAGGAGTTGATCCGTACGTACCGATGATGTCTTCCTATCTCTTGATTTACTCGATAGTGGAACTGGAGGTCAATGCAAGGAACAACCGATTGAGATGTCTTGAGATACTTTAGATATGTTCGACAATCGGTTGGGACAGTAGTGGTGATAGCATTGAATGAATGGTAGTTAAGACACAGTTTCAATTAATAGTACTTTTATTAGTTAAACACAATTAATATTTGAGTGAATACAATGGTTTGATTTGAAGTACAGTATTATAGAGCACATGTATGAAGTGCTATAGTAATGATATGACTCTATTTTGAGTAGTAGGCTAACTGAGAGGTCAGTATGCGCTTAGTATGCGATATGTAGTTACTGTTTGTCCTACTGTCCTACTGTCTTACTGTCGATTGTAAGTGTAAACGACTATAGTATTTATAGATCATTTTAGGCAACCGGTTGTGTGAGAGAGAGGACGGGTAGCTATTGGCTAAATTGAATGACTTTTGAACAGTTAGTGGTAGCGGCAGATAACTGTCAGGTTGGCGCCAATAGATTGGAGGCAACAAACGGTTGTTCAGAGAATCGGGTAATAAAATACTGTATATAGTTTAGGGTCTAATTGAAAATAGAAATATAAATCCAAAAATAGTTGCAAAATAATAGATAAACAAATATATGATAAAATAAATGCAAAACTAAAAGATAATAAAAATATTTCAATAAATTTATGCTAATTAAAAGCATAGTCACTACAAAATATTTGCACTTAAAGTTAAGGCTATTTAGACAATTAAAAATATTACAATTTAACTGTATATACAGTAGATATATATATATACTGCATAGACATTATTATATTGTAATTGTAAAAGTTAATTGTTAATTGTTAACTATTGTGGTCAGAGTTTGCCAACTGTACTGTACTAACCATTGCTCACAGACTAAACACTATACTTGATTCCGATCGTGTGTTAGTCCTATCCGATGGACGGGTAGTAGAGTTTAAATCGCCAACAGTTCTACTCTCAAACATTTCATCACAATTTTATTCATTGACAAAAAATGCGGGCATAGTTTGAATTATTTAATTTAATAAGTTTTTTAAACAAGTTTTTACTAAAAAAATAGATTTTAAGATAATTAGTAAATATAGATATATATATATATGAAAATTTTAAATTTAAAAATATATTTATTCTAATTTTATCTTATGTTATTTAAAATAATCTATACTAAAAAATTAATAAATAAAATATACTGTTTATTTGTTAGTTTTTTTTTTAAAAAAAGAAATCAATATTAATAAAAATTGTTAAATAAAAATAGATTATATGTAAATATATTTTTCGAAATAATTAATAAATAAATTATTAACCATATTTTAATTAAAGTTTATTAATATTTTCATTATCAATATTGTAATAATTATAAATTTTAGTTTGATTTTAGATTTTTTTAAATTAGATTAAGATAACATAAATTTATCTATTTATATCTATATACTTAATATCATAATATTATATATATATAATATTTATTTATATTTATTAAAATTAAACTATAATATCAATTATAACTAAATACTTTGAATGCTTATTATTTAGCAAACGTATTGACAATTTTTTGTATCAAATCATTGAATTTGGCCAAAAATTTGCCAACAATTTCAAACAAATTGGGATTTGTTTTTTGCAAACGTGGGCCCAACTCTTTGACTGACCGTTCAAAATGGCGACCAAAGCGACCAATCAGTTGGGCGAACACTGTCTTCAATTTGCCCGAATCGGGATTGTCAGCCAATTGGCCGGCAATATCGGCCGATAGCGAGACCAACAGTTTACCGAGTTCTGGTTGATAGACTGGTTGTCCACTACGTTGTTTGCCAGCTAATAACGGTCCAAATGTTTGCTTAATTTCGGCAGCAATCTGGCCAAACAACTCGCTGGCATCGGCAAACAGTTTGGCCACTACGGGTTGCTTAACGGCCAGTACGGACTGATATTTGTTCATCGATTCGATCAATTGGTCCACTAGTGAACCTAAATCGTTACCGAATAGAAACGGTATGTTATTGTCATCGACAGGCGAATCGGCAAAATCATTGAAAAATTTGTTCAACAGTAGACTGAGCTCCCGGAGCCGTGAATTGTATTTTTGTGCCAAATCTGCCAAACCGTTTGACTCCAACAGCGATATTAAATCAAAGTTATCGAAACCGGTTTCTCTGTAAACTTTTGTAAGTGAAATACCAGTATGTCGATGTCGTTTACCTAATTAAAATTAATTAATAAAATAATTTTAGTATTGAAATAGTTAATTTAATAATATTATTATTAAGTTAGTTAATTAAGTTAATTTAAATATATATATATATATATATATATATTAATTACGTTGTCCAGTTGCTAAATTAATGGATCCAATAATTAGAATCAAACCAAAAATTTTAGCTAGCAAATTTTTCTTATTATAACTCATTGTTAAATTTAATTAGATTTGAAATAACAATTATTATTATTATTGATTTATGATCAACTGTTTTTTTAAATTGTAAAAAACTAATATTAAATTAAAACTTATTTCTTAGTTCTTATATATACTTTATAATCTTAAAAAATAAGCTTAATTGACGTCATATAGATATATAAATAATTAATTATAATAAATATTTAGCAAAATCATTGAATAAATTAACAAAAATTTATAATCAATATTTAGCAATAATATAATTAACTAAAATTTTTATTACTACATTTTTAAAAAAAAACAAACTCAAAAAAAATTGTATTCTGGAATTTATATGTGCGTGTGTCTGTCAGTAGCGTTTTATTTTTTGTAAATTTTTCTTTAAAAAATCAAACTTCATATTTGGTTAAATACATTAGATAATTAAATAATATCATATGTCAAAATATTAAACTATTAGAAAAATGACAAATCAAAAATATATTAATGATAAAGTTATAAGAATAGGTTCAGTTAATAAAATACTTAAAAATAAAATTAAAAAAAACATCCGTATAAATAAACATATGTTCCGTAATTAGCTTCAAAATAAATTAAAGTCGTATTTTGTAAAAATTCTTTAAAATAATTATAAATAATCCTCAATATTTAGTAAAAAAAATTAAAATAAAATTAAAAAAATTTCTATCACGCTGAAAGTACCGATTCTCGCAGGTTTTTTTTTATAATGAATGTCACTTTTTGTTAAAACAATTCACCAACAATAATAGGAAATGGAACGACAAATCTGAATGTAAGCATCTGAATTTATTGAATAGTTAAACTCACTCAAAGGATGTAATTATTCTAAACAATTATTTCAACTAGACGAAGCGTCAAGTCATACCTATATTTATCTAGGACCATAAATATAATATTTGATATAATATTATCAAAGTTTGTTTCTTGACAATGCTTTCTAGTATTATTGTTAACTTATTTTTTAATACTTTTATTTATTTTACTATATTTAACTAACTAAAAAATAAGCTAACAGTATATATATACTATCTAGACTAATAAGATCTTAACTCATTTGACCCAAATCATATGGCCAAAACTTATTTGACCCAAATCACTTGACACAAATCATTTGACCCAAACTTATTTGACCCAAATATTTATTTTTTATTTTTTCAAACTAATTATATATAAATAATATAAACTTAATAATTTTATTCAATTATTTATATAAATAAAGTAATAATATATTTAATCTATAAAATAATTTAGAACTTAATAATATTTATTTATTACATATTTATTTTTTAAAAATAAAAAAAGCCAGAAATATTCCCAATTAAGTTTGTATTATTTATATATAATTATATAGTTTGAAGAATAAAATTGTGACGGGAATTATCTGGTTTACCCGTCAATAGCCCTTTAAAATCGATTTTAAAGAGCTATGTATAGGGTTTGTATAGGGTTTGGACAATAGACTGGTTTTAGTACTAACTTGTTATCGGAACCCTTGTTGGGTCGCTTTGAGAGTCAATGTCTAGTTTTTACGGAAGCTTTCTATCGGAACTTGGAATAACTGATCCGGAAAACCGGAATAATGGCCAAACTTTGTTACACCTAAAGCTTACACTTAACTAATAAGTAGTCAATTGTTTCAGTTATTAAAACTGATTTTATTCAAAAATTAATATCATATGTACTTAAAACACATGTATAGTTAGATACAATATTTATATATAATTAATTAGTTATTTTAAGATAATAATAATAAGTCAATTTATGATTTATACAATTCGATATAATATTAAGTATTTTTAAGTTTATACAAAATTAGTTGAAAACAAATAAAACATAACTAAAATTAATAAATTTTTATAAGCTGATGATATGTAGATCATCATAAAATAATAAATATTTGGGTCAAAAAAGTTTGGGTCAAATTATTTGGGTCAAGTGATTTGGGTCAAATAAGTTTGGGTCAAATGAGTTTAGATCTTATGAACTAGACCAGTAATATAGTAGTAGTACTAAAATTAAATGATATTGCTATAATAGCATTATAATTTATAACATTTATAAGCAGTTTAATAAAAATATA